GGCAAAGCCCTGGCTGAAATTTTCGACCAGGAAGTACATTTGATCTGCGAAATACTGCAAAGCCATTCCTCTAGTGAAATGCAGTTCGTGTCATCTCCAAAATGGCGCGAGCGCTCTACTCCCTCGTCGTAAGAGATCACTGTGTGCCCTAAGAGGAAACGTAGACGGGGAGCGTGATGTTGTTTATGGCAAAGCCCTGGATGAAATTTTCGACCAGGAAGTACATTTGATCTGCGAACTACTGCAAAGCCATTCCTCTAGTGAAATGCAGTTCGTGTCATCTCCAAAATGGCGCGAGCGCTCTACTCCCTCGTCGTAAGAGATCACAGTGTGCCCTAAGAGGAAACGTAGACGGGGAGCGTGATGTTGTTTATGGCAAAGCCCTGGCTGAAATTTTCGACCAGGAAGTACATTTGATCTGCGAACTACTGCAAAGCCATTCCTCTAGTGAAATGCAGTTCGTGTCATCTCCAAAATGGCGCGAGCGCTCTACTCCCTCGTCGTAAGAGATCACAGTGTGCCCTAAGAGGAAACGTAGACGGGGAGCGTGATGTTGTTTATGGCAAAGCCCTGGCTGAAATTTTCGACCAGGAAGTACATTTGATCTGCGAAATACTGCAAAGCCATTCCTCTAGTGAAATGCAGTTCGTGTCATCTCCAAAATGGCGCGAGCGCTCTACTCCCTCGTCGTAAGAGATCACTGTGTGCCCTAAGAGGAAACGTAGACGGGGAGCGTGATGTTGTTTATGGCAAAGCCCTGGATGAAATTTTCGACCAGGAAGTACATTTGATCTGCGAACTACTGCAAAGCCATTCCTCTAGTGAAATGCAGTTCGTGTCATCTCCAAAATGGCGCGAGCGCTCTACTCCCTCGTCGTAAGAGATCACAGTGTGCCCTAAGAGGAAACGTAGACGGGGAGCGTGATGTTGTTTATGGCAAAGCCCTGGCTGAAATTTTCGACCAGGAAGTACATTTGATCTGCGAACTACTGCAAAGCCATTCCTCTAGTGAAATGCAGTTCGTGTCATCTCCAAAATGGCGCGAGCGCTCTACTCCCTCGTCGTAAGAGATCACAGTGTGCCCTAAGAGGAAACGTAGACGGGGAGCGTGATGTTGTTTATGGCAAAGCCCTGGCTGAAATTTTCGACCAGGAAGTACATTTGATCTGCGAAATACTGCAAAGCCATTCCTCTAGTGAAATGCAGTTCGTGTCATCTCCAAAATGGCGCGAGCGCTCTACTCCCTCGTCGTAAGAGATCACTGTGTGCCCTAAGAGGAAACGTAGACGGGGAGCGTGATGTTGTTTATGGCAAAGCCCTGGATGAAATTTTCGACCAGGAAGTACATTTGATCTGCGAAATACTGCAAAGCCATTCCTCTAGTGAAATGCAGTTCGCGTCATCTCCAAAATGGCGCGAGCGCTCTAATCCCTCGTCGTAAGAGATCACAGTGTGCCCTAAGAGGAAACGTAGACGGGGAGCGTGATGTGGTTTATGGCAAAGCCCTGGCTGAAATTTTCGACCAGGAAGTACATTTGATCTGCGAACTACTGCAAAGCCATTCCTCTAGTGAAATACAGTTCGTGTCATCTCCAAAATGGCGCGAGCGCTCTACTCCCTCGTCGTAAGAGATCACTGTGTGCCCTAAGAGGAAACGTAGACGGGGAGCGTGATGTGGTTTATGGCAAAGCCCTGGCTGAAATTTTCGACCAGGAAGTACATTTGATCTGCGAAATACTGCAAAGCCATTCCTCTAGTGAAATGCAGTTCGTGTCATCTCCAAAATGGCGCGAGCGCTCTAATCCCTCGTCGTAAGAGATCACAGTGTGCCCTAAGAGGAAACGTAGACGGGGAGCGTGATGTGGTTTATGGCAAAGCCCTGGCTGAAATTTTCGACCAGGAAGTACATTTGATCTGCGAACTACTGCAAAGCCATTCCTCTAGTGAAATGCAGTTCGTGTCATCTCCAAAATGGCGCGAGCGCTCTAATCCCTCGTCGTAAGAGATCACAGTGTGCCCTAAGAGGAAACGTAGACGGGGAGCGTGATGTGGTTTATGGCAAAGCCCTGGCTGAAATTTTCGACCAGGAAGTACATTTGATCTGCGAACTACTGCAAAGCCATTCCTCTAGTGAAATGCAGTTCGTGTCATCTCCAAAATGGCGCGAGCGCTCTACTCCCTCGTCGTAAGAGATCACTGTGTGCCCTAAGAGGAAACGTAGACGGGGAGCGTGATGTGGTTTATGGCAAAGCCCTGGATGAAATTTTCGACCAGGAAGTACATTTGATCTGCGAAATACTGCAAAGCCATTCCTCTAGTGAAATGCAGTTCGCGTCATCTCCAAAATGGCGCGAGCGCTCTAATCCCTCGTCGTAAGAGATCACAGTGTGCCCTAAGAGGAAACGTAGACGGGGAGCGTGATGTGGTTTATGGCAAAGCCCTGGCTGAAATTTTCGACCAGGAAGTACATTTGATCTGCGAACTACTGCAAAGCCATTCCTCTAGTGAAATGCAGTTCGTGTCATCTCCAAAATGGCGCGAGCGCTCTACTCCCTCGTCGTAAGAGATCACTGTGTGCCCTAAGAGGAAACGTAGACGGGGAGCGTGATGTGGTTTATGGCAAAGCCCTGGCTGAAATTTTCGACCAGGAAGTACATTTGATCTGCGAACTACTGCAAAGCCATTCCTCTAGTGAAATGCAGTTCGTGTCATCTCCAAAATGGCGCGAGCGCTCTAATCCCTCGTCGTAAGAGATCACAGTGTGCCCTAAGAGGAAACGTAGACGGGGAGCGTGATGTTGTTTATGGCAAAGCCCTGGATGAAATTTTCGACCAGGAAGTACATTTGATCTGCGAACTACTGCAAAGCCATTCCTCTAGTGAAATGCAGTTCGTGTCATCTCCAAAATGGCGCGAGCGCTCTACTCCCTCGTCGTAAGAGATCACAGTGTGCCCTAAGAGGAAACGTAGACGGGGAGCGTGATGTGGTTTATGGCAAAGCCCTGGCTGAAATTTTCGACCAGGAAGTACATTTGATCTGCGAAATACTGCAAAGCCATTCCTCTAGTGAAATGCAGTTCGTGTCATCTTCAAAATGGCGCGAGCGCTCTACTCCCTCGTCGTAAGAGATCACTGTGTGCCCTAAGAGGAAACGTAGACGGGGAGCGTGATGTGGTTTATGGCAAAGCCCTGGCTGAAATTTTCGACCAGGAAGTACATTTGATCTGCGAAATACTGCAAAGCCATTCCTCTAGTGATATGCAGTTCGTGTCATCTCCAAAATGGCGCGAGCGCTCTACTCCCTCGTCGTAAGAGATCACAGTGTGCCCTAAGAGGAAACGTAGACGGGGAGCGTGATGTGGTTTATGGCAAAGCCCTGGCTGAAATTTTCGACCAGGAAGTACATTTGATCTGCGAAATACTGCAAAGCCATTCCTCTAGTGAAAAGCAGTTCGTGTCGTCTCCAAAATGGCGCGAGCGCTCTACTCCATCGTCGTAAGAGATCACAGTGTGCCCTAAGAGGAAACGTAGACGGGGAACGTAATGTTGTTTATGGCAAAGCCCTGGCTGAAATTTTCGACCAGGAAGTACATTTGATCTGCGAAATACTGCAAAGCCATTCCTCTAGTGAAATGCAGTTCGTGTCATCTCCAAAATGGCGCGAGCGCTCTACTCCCTCGTCGTAAGAGATCACTGTGTGCCCTAAGAGGAAACGTAGACGGGGAGCGTGATGTGGTTTATGGCAAAGCCCTGGCTGAAATTTTCGACCAGGAAGTACATTTGATCTGCGAAATACTGCAAAGCCATTCCTCTAGTGATATGCAGTTCGTGTCATCTCCAAAATGGCGCGAGCGCTCTACTCCCTCGTCGTAAGAGATCACAGTGTGCCCTAAGAGGAAACGTAGACGGGGAGCGTGATGTTGTTTATGGCAAAGCCCTGGCTGAAATTTTCGACCAGGAAGTACATTTGATCTGCGAAATACTCCAAAGCCATTCCTCTAGTGAAATGCAGTTCGTGTCATCTCCAAAATGGCGCGAGCGCTCTACTCCCTCGTCGCAAGAGGTCACAGTGTGCCCTAAGAGGAAACGTAGACGGTGAGCGTGATGTTTATGGCAAAGCCCTGGCTGAAATTTTCGACCAGGAAGTACATTTGATCTGCGAAATACTGCAAAGCGATTCCTTTAGTGAAATGCAGTTCGTGTCATCTCCAAAATGGCGCGAGCGCTCTACTCCCTCGTCGTAAGAGATCACAGTGTGCCCTAAGAGGAAACGTAGACGGGGAGCGTGATGTGGTTTATGGCAAAGCCCTGGCTGAAATTTTCGACCAGGAAGTACATTTGATCTGCGAACTACTGCAAAGCCATTCCTCTAGTGAAATGCAGTTCGTGTCATCTCCAAAATGGCGCGAGCGCTCTACTCCCTCGTCGCAAGAGGTCACAGTGTGCCCTAAGAGGAAACGTAGACGGTGAGCGTGATGTTTATGGCAAAGCCCTGGCTGAAATTTTCGACCAGGAAGTAGATTTGATCTGCGAAATACTGCAAAGCCATTCCTTTAGAGAAATGCAGTTCGTGTCATCTCCAAAATGGCGCGAGCGCTCTACTCCTTCGTCGTAAGAGATCACAGTGTGCCCTAAGAGGAGACGTAGACGGGGAGCGTGATGTTGTTTATGGCAAAGCCCTGGATGAAATTTTCGACCAGGAAGTTGAATGTTTTAGGCAAGCTAGAAGGACATCATTGTATGCATCATTTTACATTAAGACATATATTTAATGTTTATTTTCCAGCCCTTTTTATACGCATAGTGCGTGTATATTCTCTTTATTTTGATGTGTCTCCCATTTTCGATCTGCTTGGTCATTTACATCGTTCGGCACACAACAACTTTCACTATAGCGAAATTGTTGACTGCATATTGTAAACGAACTGAACAACTCAATACATTCTTGACTTTACAGCGAGTTTATAGTGCGTTACAATCAAGCAACAAGCACGGGCTTACCTTCTTCTTTTTTCTTTATTCTTACAATTGAACAGTTCTTGTAGTTAGAGTACAGAAGCTTGTGATCTTGTGGTCCATCAACTGAAAGAAGTATAACATTTACGTTTAAATTATGTTCTATTATTTTCGATAAAATCGCACGACAGTCTTGTTGTAAGTACAGCCGTTTTTTTGGAAGAACGATTTTTGCATGCGGGACTTAATGTTAAAGAAAGTCTTCAAATCTCATATGACGCGATATTTGTACATGTCTATATTTTTATATTTTTGTTGCTTAAGTTCCTGTGTATCCCTAATAAGTACTTTATGCTCAGAAACATTTATTATGTGCGCTAAACTGCTTCTCAAGGTTTTACCTCCCCTGTCTGCATATTTCTAGTTCTCGATTAAAGCGAATTCCTTCGCGAGTATGCTGTATATGGAATGATTTCCATGATGAGATGCTTATTACGAATTCGCTGAATTACGGTATGAAATAAAGGTTATATTACGGCAATTGAAGCGTAAATTCGTTAGTTATTTTAAATGCTTGATTACTTAATAGAAAGAAAAAAAGCATGCAGCGCGAATATCTATGAAGGCACCTTGTGTTTTATTCCGTAAAATGCAATCACGATTGAGCGAAACAATCTTTTAAACCACACGGTGTATCTTTCCTATCTCAAGCAAGCCGCATCTTGAGTTTCCTTGTGTTTTGAAACACTGAATGCCTTTCCGAGTTTCGTGTTATAAATACAAATAAGAACCCACATAACAAGGTCCCGACCTCTTCGGAGGAGCTATAAATATTCACTTAAGTCGCGTTGTACGGAAATCGTGATTGCATTTACATGTTTTCCCAAACACGGCACTCGCCAAACTTATGTTTTAGAACAATATTAGAACATTGATTCTTCCGTTCTGTGCCTATTGAAACACTACTAGCGCATGTGACTTTTAAGTTACATAATATATGCAGGCTGTCTAACCAGTTCTTATTCCGGTTCCATTCAGGTTCGGATTCAGTAGCTTTATATTTTGTTGCGGTTCGGCTCCAGTTCAGTGAGGCATTCTAAGTATTGGTTGAGTTACCAGCTTCACCAAGCGAGAACCAGTTCAAACCCGTGCTTTACTCTACCTTAAAACGTTACCACCTGTGCATTTCCCAATGAAACAAAACAAAAACAAAAAGTTCAAAGCTCCCTTTCATTAAGAAAGAAAAAGCGTGTCCAACAAAGTGTCATCTGCATTAACATTTAAAAACAGCTAGTTGTCTAAAGCCGCGGTGCTGAGAAAAGGACAGCAAACAAATATATGCTTAAATATTTAATTTTCGGATCTTAAATGTCTTAAGCACAGACATCATTTTATACAAATAACTTGGTCATACAGGGGCTTAGAAATAGTGCTTCCGTGTAAGCCAATCAGTCAGCACGCAGAGTGACACACTGACACTATATTGTCACTAATGACAGTTGATGAGGAGATGAAAACTGAAACAAATCGAAAGTCTAACAGGGTGAACTTGTGCCCAAAACAAAAAGGAAGCAGACGATAATAGTGGAGCGTCGCGGGCGTCGATGGCGGCGTAGCAGCAGGATTGAACACAGGGGCGAGACTGACTCCGGCTTGCCACGCGGAGCACTTTTTCCAGCCGCGTGGGTTTCTGGAACATTCCGCCTAGAACGTTCGCTGCGTAGAACATTCGTAACTCGATCAGACGAAAAAATTCTCGAATTGGCGAATACTCCAAGCAGAATGAATAAATAAAAGAACATTCCGCTCCCTGGAATCGAAACCAGAACGTCCGCGCGACAGCCAAGCACGGTAACCATTCGGCCACGTACGCTCTCGCTCAGCGACCCGCGTGGCAATATAGCATGCACTGTACTCGCAAAATATTCTTTCGAGCATCTCGTGACAAAGTTGAAAACTAGAAAGATAGAAAAAAAGCAATTGAAAACTGACTCCAACAAAAAAAAAATAGAAAAAGGAACGGGCGGCATGCCGCACTCTAAACACAAACACAAAACAATATTTTCCTCAGGAAGGGTTCAGAGTGCCGGGCAAGTGGCGTCCAGGCGACCGGCACCTCAGGCCCAGTGTCGCGACTTGAACCTCTCGTGGCTTTTCACCTCTAGTTTTTGCCGCCGCAGAACACACACACGCTGATAGCCGGCAATCTTTTTAATGCGTTAGCATCAAAGCGCTCATTTTCACGACTAGCCGGCGGTGTCTTATGTCTGTCAATGCCAGCGAGAGAGGGAGAAGGAGGGGGAGAGCGCGACGCGTGTGACGCACCCATTGATCCGATGCTCTGACGTCCGAACGCGTCAGCCTCTTCCTCTTTCCCCGGCGCAGGCTAACTGACAGACACCACCGGGCTTTTGTCAGAACGAGCCCTTTCGTTTTCGCCAAAGTCACGCGCACAGCTAGCGCGGAACCAGCGAGGAGGAGACGCCCCGCAGCACCTCCTTGATAACAAAGCCGCAGTGCTGAATGAGATAGCTTAATCATAGAAGGGCGACGCTGAACACAGATTGAAACGAATGCTGCGGCAACACTCGCCTTCGAGTTAAGTTTGAGCCGATCGTTGACACAATCGTCGTGTTTAATCTCTGGCCGGCGTTGGCCCTCGCTGATGACGACTTCTCATTCAGCACTACGGCTTTGTGGGCGTGCTGAGTTGCCGCTCTGCCGTCGTCGCTTGTTCTCCGCTCTGGGTTTCCGTATAGAGGTGTGTGGGCTCTGATGTGCGTGCGTAGTTAAAACAATGGATGCGGTTCACTCCACGAGCGATATAAGTGAGATTCGTTCCACGAGTGGTATGGATTTCCATGAGTGATATGAATGACTGCATCCAAGGGCGTCAACGTACGCTGACAGGCAGAGAGAAAAGAGAGGTGAAATAAATTACAGGAAGATCCATTGGTGGATTCGTAGGGAATCCGTTCGCATGACCCTTGGGAAGCGCCACACGCGTCCCATTTCGGGAAACGCTAACACTGACCCCGTAACGAGGCCAAAAAAACGCAGCGAAAAATTGAGGAAGGAAAAGAGAAATCCAAAAGGGAAAAAGTGAAGGGGTCATGTTAGCGTTTCGCAAAGGTTGAAGTATGTGGCGTTTCCAAGGGTCATGCTATCGTATTCCCTAAAATCTACCAATAGATCTTTCTGTAATTTTTGTTTTGATTTTTTTGTCTGTTTTTTTATCTTTAAATAGAACAGCTGTTACTTCTTTCAACTTTATAATAGACCACAGAGGACACAAGTCATTGAAGCCAATGCAGTGTTGTGAGAGCGTCATGTGACCTTCGAAAGAGACGCAGCGACGCGCTGAATGTGATACAATCAGAGCGCGGGATTGGTTGGGGTAGATAACGCGTCGGCTGACCTCTATGGCAAAGTGAAACGGAGTATAGCAGCCAAACACAGGAACTCGAGCACGTACGCACGCTTACGTGCACGGAGGTTAACCTCTTCGCATAGTCAGGTAGAAGTATTCTACATCGACAAGCAGACCTCAAGTCGTACTGCACTCATTTTGTATTTTTTTCAGTACGTCGCAAGCTTAAATTTAGTTCTGTTTTTTTTTTTTTTTTAATTGTATTCGTAGTGCAAGCAAAGCAAAAATAAAAAAAAAAAAAACGTGCAGAGACGTTTCTTTCGTATTATTTATGATGGCTACATTGGCCGCAGTGTTTATTATGAGTATAACAGGCTTTTACGACGATGTGATTGTACTACACTAAGCTCGAGTAAAGGCATTTTATGTTTTAAAAGTAGCGAAAGCTGCGTCGATGCAAGAGGCACGTGCAGCCCTTGGGAAGATCATGGTAGTACAGCGCAGCACTGAGCTAGATTTCAGACGCCATGTTTTTACCAGAACTTGCGCGCGGCACGTGTCTCGAGCAGTTCCACTACAATGAATGGCGCCACTTTTATCAGGATAGAGGGGCTTCAAGTTTGATATGACTTTAGCGCCATCTAACGTTTTTTTTTTGTATAAATGCGTTCATGGTCGAATTGATTGTTCAACCATCCCATCAGCTAATAATATATATGCACCGGGAGTACTTTTGAGGGTAAATCCCACTTTTTCAATTAAAGTAATCAACCTTTCAACTCCGATGAACCGCATCCAACATTTTCATAACACGTTCAGTACAACCAGCATTGACATTTCCAATTAAAGTGTTAAAGCGTTTAGGCGTTCAATGGCTGATATTTAACTCTTACCTATTTCCTACTCCCCCATAATAGATATTAACTGTTGCACTTGCCTTAGATTTCTTGTGTGGGTACACAAGTAATCTAAGGCAATTTTTCCGCTAAATTTAGCGAAAACATTTCTTCGCTAAATTTAGCGGAAAAATTTCCTCGCTAACTTTAGCGGGGAAAACTCCCATAATGAACGCGCTCGGCAACGCCGAAGTCCCGATGGCGACGCGGACGGCGACCCCGTTCACCCCAGACACGGGCGCCTAAGAGCTGCGCTCTAAAAGCGAGGAAACCATTTTGAGTCGAATGCTTGCTCATGCTCATACCTCAGCGTTGTGCGTTGAGCTGGCACATGGCAGGGCACGACCTGTATTCAACCGCCTGCTTTGCCTAGTATAGTGGCGTCCCCTATAGGTCACTGGAGTTGCGAATAAAAGCCGCGCAACACGAACGCCAGCGCCGCAACTACGGTGAGGGCTGGAACTACTTAGGTAAGTGAGGTCGGTAAGTGAGTGAGTTCATGAGTTCGTTGAGGGGCGTGAGTTTGTAAGTTCATATGTTCGATGAGTTCATGAGTTCAGTGAGGGGTGTGAGTTCGCTGAGTTCATCAGCTCATGGGTCCGCGAGTCAAGACTTGAAGGTGAATGCAGCCGCGAGGGTGAGTGTGAGTGAGGTTTAACTTTTTATTTTAGCTATCTGTGAGTTCAACGAAAAAATGCTGACCTCTGGGCTCCACCTGGTCGCCCTTCCTTCCTCTTCTACCCCTCTATTCTACAAAGTCCCCTTCACCATACTCCCGGAAATTCCCGGTTTCTCTAGCATAGGTTCGTCCCGTCTTCCAGCGAGTCTGGACCTGCACCTGCAAGCCATTACATGGCCAGGGAAGAGCGGGAACCCGACATCCCACTCGGTCGGCGGCGCGCGAGCTCTTGCTCGATGGCGCGAGGGTGGGGAGACTGGGTCTCCGGAATACTGAGGTCGGAAGCCTCTCGAGGCATGCCCGGACGAAACGCACATGGTACATCACAGCTCTTTTCGACGAAGTCATTCACACTGATTGCAGCAACAATGAGAGTAATCGTTAGCGAGAGATGTTGGTAGCGTCACTTTTACATGGACTCGCTGGCAATCAGCTAAAGCGACGACGACGAAATAGTCACGGACGAACTCGCTGTTGTCCGCGACGATCTCCCACGTGCATGCGGTGAAAGGCCAAAAGACAAAGGGCGAAAGGGAGAGTAGCATTGGCGGTAGCCGAGTAGCGTAGTGTGCGATCGTAGCGTGGCGAGCTTGGGCAATCACGGAGGCGCCTAGGATGATCTTGTTTGACTGCACGTCATGATCACACGATTTATAGTCACCGTGTTACTAACTTGGATAGTGTTGCCTGGTCGCAAGATGAAAATGATCGACACTTGTTAATTGAATATTGCAATTACAAGAGCTTTACAAATCGCGAACACGGGTGTGTCTGCTAAGTAGTCTATGAGCATACCACTTCAAGATTAAACTTTCCGTCTTGAGAGGATACGCAGCAGGAAGAGGGGGGGGTTCAGAGGAGGAAGGGGGTATGGAGGAAATGAGGGTACAGAGTAGCAGGAGGGGAGGGTACGGGAGAGGAGGATGTGAAGGAGAAGGGTATGAAGGATGAAGAGGACACTGAAGAGGTGGAGGGTGCAGAACCAGTATGTGTAGAGATTGATCTACATTTGTATATGCAGGTTTTTTTTATTATCCTTGCAGATTTGTTTTAAAAAGAGCGATGAAACTACACTTATGCGGTTTGTGAGAGTGAGTTATACGCCCAGGGGGACATTATGTGGGTGGCTGTTCTTTGCGATAAGTGGGGTAATTATTTAAAATTTACTAATTAACTTTTGAATTAATGAAAATAGACATACGGTTCCAATTAGAAACTTGCTGTGCGTCGTTCATTGCCCCTACATCAGTCATTTTCAGAAAGGCTTTGAGCGCGTGAGAAGAGTAGTAGCGCACTAAAGTTACCACTCGTGGAGCAGGTACAAGGCTAGCGGTTGCGGTAAGGCGCCCGCGCAATTTTTCCGTCTCTTATCTAGCCCCAGCCTTGTACCTGCTCTACGAGTGGTAACTTCAGCCCACTACTGCGCGTCTCACGCGCTCAAAGTCTTTCTAAAAATGACCGATTTCGCAGTTTTGGACAACGCTCAGCAAGTTCTTAATTCTAACCATTTGTCTATTTTCACTAATTAAAAACTTAATTAGTTAATTTTAATTAATTGGCCGACTTCTCGCAAAAATTAGCTACCCACACAATATCCTCCTCACAAAACGCATAAGTGTAGCGTTCACGTTTGTTTTTTAAAACAACTCTGTAAGAATAAAATAAAACACCCGGTATTTATATACAGGGTGTTTCAGAGAACTCAGGCCAAATCGCTCCAGCGAAACCTACTTATCGCAACGAAAAAAGGCTTGTTTCGTTTTGGTCCTGGGCCAGGGGCCCATTTAGGATAATTATTAAAGTCCGGGATATTTAACATGATAATTATTTTGCGCAATTAACTTTTTTGATATTGTGTTTAAGGGCATGGTTTCAATTCGAAAATTGCTCAGCATCATCAAAAAACCGTAAATCAACAAATTGCAGAACGATAGAACTCACGCGAAGCACTTTTCGGCTTTCTGAAAGACCGCACAAATTCGCCGGGTTTTTAAGTTTCGGTTTGCTATCGGAGCGCACCTCGGCCCCGGCGGCACCGCGCCCCGTGGAGAGATAGTGCAGCCAACCTCGTCTGCGCCGTCATCGTGCGACGCAGCAGAGGCTGGTTGCACTATCTCTCGGTGCCGCCAGGGCCGAGATGCGCTCCGATAGCAAACCGAAACTTAAAAACCCGTCGATTTTGTGCGGTTTTTCAGAAAGTCGTAAAATGCTTCGCGTGCCTTCTGTCGTTCTGCAATTTGTTGAATTAGTGTTTCTTGATGATGCTGAGCAATTTTCTTATTGAAACCATCCCCTTGAACACAATAGTAAAAAAGTTCATCACGCAAAAATAATTATCATGTTAAATATCCCGGATTATAATAATTTTCCTAAATGGGCGCCTGGCCCGGGACGAAAATGACACAAGCCTTTTTTCGTTGCGATGAGTATTTTTCGCAGGAGCGATTTGGCCTGAGTTCTCTGAAACACCCTGTATATAAATAAATATATATATATATATATATATATATATATCGCAAAATCAAAATACCTCAAGAGCTGCACTTAAATATCGTATTTCAGAGATTTGTAAGCGTCTTTTCTTTTATGTCTATAAATTCCACCTATGTTTTGTGCACCACACAGTAGATTGCGAGGATGTTTGTGGGCACAGAAAAAGATCATGGGATATTTTAATTATCATTCAAATAAGAGCTCGGCCCTCTGACGTCCCCGCACGCTTTGATCTCCTACCCTCCCTCAATATCTACCCCCATAGAAACCGACGGCATCCATGAAGCAGTGCCGACATAGCAGCATTATGGCGTTCATCAGATTTCTTTGAGTGTCTGTTTTCGCGGCTCCTCAAATCAAACGCAGACAGCGTCGGGGAAATTAGATTTTCGCTTGTGTATTTGTTGGGTGTCTTTTATCCTTTGACTGTCTCTAACTTAAACTAACAACATGTATATGCACGCCCTTTCCTCAATGGTAAGAAAAACACCTCAGAGAACGCGGACAACGAAGCAGAACATACGCGAGAGGACAATGCTGTACCCGCAGCTGAAGCATTTTCGCCTGCTAAGGCTCGCGAAGGCGGACTGCACCAAGGTGCATAGAAAACCTTCCGTCACTTAGGTTTCGTGCGTTGCGTATAATATCCCTTTCTTAGGTAGCAGATACTATGTGGGTCAAACGGGAAGATATTTGAATGACAGATTAAGAGATCATGCCTATTCGCTCGCAGCCACGGTTTGAGGGCTATTGCCAATTCATTGCAGCGATCAGAAGTGTCGGCCTGATTTAGGCAGGGTCACCATTATGGGCGCACACGTAAATAGGGTGAGGAAAGAGATCATAGAGGTTTTACACATTTCGTGCCATGGGTAATTATGTGTCAGTGAACAATAGGTGACGCTGTCAGGAAAAGAGATGTCCTTCCTGCGGAAAAAAATGAGTCACGTAGTGAACTCTTAAAGAATGTAATTACTGACGCGTTTCTCGTTTGGCCAGTGTGGCCCTGTATTTTTCGTGCAATCCTTAAGGATACTGCGTACGTTTCCTTTGACTGTTTCTTCTATAAAAAGTCTTTAGTGGCGAGTACTGCATTGTCCTGTCGTGTATGTTCTTTTTCGTCGTCCGCGTTTTCGAAGATATTTTTCTCGTGATTTATAATGTCAACCAACTGACACAGTTGACACCTTGACACTTGCTATCTCAAGATAATTCAGGCGGCGCAGGAGAGCGAATGAGCACAATATATAGATCAAATAGCGTGTGCACCTGAGGATAAAGCGTCTGTGTGTGTGTGTGTGCGTGTGTGTGTGGTGGGGGGGAGAGCTTTTCAGGAGCTTTATTTGGTACTTCTCTAGACTACAGACAACGCAAGTGTTGCTACAAATCGCGAAAAAAAACAAGCTCTATATCTCCTAAACAGATCTGTCGGGTTTTAACAACACTGTTGGTGGCGAAGGGTATCGCGTTAGTTGCGATGTTCGAAGGCTGGGAAAGTGTAGCGCTTTGTGTTGACATGTGCACACGTTAATCGCTGATAGCTTAAGAAACACAGGCCGTGACTGATTATCGTCCCTCTTTTTGCACCGTGATTTGTTATTTGGAGCTTGTATTGGGCTAATGTCGCACTCCATTGGGTGCGGGACAATAACGAAATGCTCCAGACTCCGACACGCCCTCCGCTTCCTAAACCGCGATCGGCTATAGCTGTATTTGACTATAATATCTAAAATCTGGTGGAAACCGAGGTACTCTAATTATTATTCGATTAAATATTTTATTAGCGCGACATTTTCTTCTAATATGTTAGTGATGATAGCTATATCCGGTTGCTCTTGATGTGTGTAGCAGATCTCCATGTTTCCTGTGAAAGCTTAACTTAATAAACGTAAGCTCTTGCAATAGTTCGAAACTGAATGGAAAAAATATACACATAGGTTAAACTTTACCTCTGTCTCGTACAAAACGCATCACGTTTGGTTGAGAATGAGTGCCGGACTTCGTTAAACCCAAAACTTGGATACTGGCTATCCACCTGTTTCAAGAACAAGGTGAAGTATAAGATCAATAACAGAGTCGTCGTCTAATTACCCGGTTATAACAATTTAACTGTCTTTTTTTTAATTATAAAAAAAACAATTAGCGTTTTTATGGCGAAATGACACTTCAACTTAATGAAACACTACTCACGCCGTAGCAGTTGTTCATCTCTATACTGTATCACTTTCACGCCGCGGTATGCGGAGCTCAAGCTCTTCTGATTCTTGGACATGGGTAGCGATGATGTCAGAACGCCGAGCTCTTATTGGCTGATAGAACAAAATAGTGGGTACATCTCACGGCATTTAGCATCGAGGTCTGCCTAGTATGCTTTGAATCAAAGCCAATGAGAGCTCGGCGTCGTTGTGACGTCAGCGTAACTCTTGCGCAAGGAGCAGACGCCTTCCTCTCCAGATGAGTTCACTACTAGACCTTGCCACGGGCGTTCTATGCCTTTTAGAAGAGTTATAGCTTCTAACACAATCCTGGCCTCAGTACCAAACTGAACGAATAATTTTACCACTAACCTTTGGAGACTGAAAAAACTCTTCCGCGCACGGTGGCATCCGGCATCGACACTCTTGATTTGTTCCATTATTTGTTTTCTATTTTCAGTGCTTACTTAGAAATAGTTCCAATCTTTATTTTTTTTTTATACCCATAAGGGTACTTAAATTGTCACGAATGACAATTGATGGTTCCATAATAACTGAAAAGACTAAACGTTTAATTTGGCGCACTTGTGCCCAAAACAAAAAGGGAACAAATGAAAACCCTGCGCAGAGCGTCGATGGCGGCGTAACAGCAGGATCGTACGCTGGGGCGAGAGTGACTCCGGCTTGGCACGCGGAGCCCCTTTGTACACGCGTGGGCTTTTGGAACAATCAGCGCAGAAGTTTCGGCGTGTAGAACTTTCCAACCTCGAATTAGCCCCAAAACGGTTCTCGAATTTACCAGAACATCACATTAGAGTCAGAAGAATGCGCACCCGCGGCCAGGAATCGAACCCTGGCCTTCTGCGCGGAAGGAGAGCGCGATAACCGTTAGGCCACGGCCGCGCTGCCTACTTGGCCAGCTGCGGGCGGGACGATATATTAATTATTTATGCAGTAACATTATGTATACTGCGTTCCCAGCACACTATCGTAGATCCCATTCAGTCTTAATGCCAAAAACGCAGAAATATACAATGTTTAATATTTTTACCAATTTTTCAAGCCAAATTCTCCAGTCTAAAGCCGTTTTGATGAAAAAAAACGAGGAAAACTGGTTGTATTAGAACGATACCCTATAAATGTTTTAGAATGATCACACCGGAACCAGACGCAAGTTGGTTCCAGGAGTAAGTCGTGTTTACTAATTGTCTTCTTACAGTATATTTGGCTAAAACAAAACAATTGTAATTTTCTTTTGTGATCTCAATAATTCCCGCGACAGCATTACAGTCATCTCTAATATACAAGGTAGAAGTTATATTATTTACGGAAAATGGTCTTGTTGATTTTAAGGCTATTCTAGTCGTTTCAAATAGATCATCGTATTACGTGTCCCACATTGCTCTCGCGTACTCAAGTATAGACCTACCGGTACAAAAATAAAATAGTTTCCTCACATTCATAACGCATCCTTGACATTCTTTTATAAAAAATGTAAATGGTGTTTTACTTCCATGTGCTCAATATACATATTGAATTAGCAAAAGTCTGGGTAAAATAAACTCCAAAATATTTACCTCCCAAAACTTATAATCATTACGTTTTTGTTTTCAAGAATTTAGATACATTCCTTAAAAAAAGTAAGATGGTTATCCTTTCTAATCTTTAGACTCGCGCTCTTTTAAACACACCATTGTGATATTTGCTCTTAATTGCATTGCAATACTTCCTACTTCTGCCAAGAATTTATTTCCCTCTAAATAAAACAGGCGTCTGCCAATAACTTTATCAGAGGCCAAATATTTGCTGCAATGTCATTTTTGAGAGAAAATTAAAAACACCAAAAATACCGAGCGAATTCCGCGGAGGAACAAGTCACCGCATGGGTAAGGATGAGGATATCATATTATTAGAACTTCCCACTGCTCGCTGACATTTAGGTTATTTCTAGTAAGCTTTTGGACATATTTTTTCATTTATAAATGCTATTTTAATATTTGGAAGGTTACGGGGCACAAAGTAAAATGCTTTAAAAAGTAAAGATTGTGTGTACCTGGTTAATGTAGTCTAGAGCTTTTGATATGTAATGTTTGAATTGCGCTAATTGTACGTTGCACACGTATCTACTTGAAAAATCTATGGAGGGAGGGTTTAATTATTATATGTTCAAGATAGTTGAATATCATACAGTCTGACCAAATATTTTACAACAAAGTGACGTAAACACGTAGGCCTATGTTTTCCCTAGAGCTTCTTCTCCTCGCAATTAAAAACTGGAATCGTATTTGTGATCTTCAAGATTTGTCGAGCGAACCCTGTTTTATGCGAAATATTAAATAGAATACGCAGGGTGCCTTAAATTCCGAGGCCAGATCTAAAATGAGTCGTACAAATCGGCGCCTGCACGTAGCAATCTAAGCGTTCCGTCAAAGGAGTATTTCACAGGTGGGCTTTACATTGTAAAATTACAAGGTGTAGCTCCCTTTCTGTAAAAAATAGGGCCAGAAAACATACCAAGGTCAGCGGAGTACGGCGACGCAGAAAACCAAGGCGAGGGGGGGGGGGGGGGGGGGGGAGGCGTTTGGCGCACGTATTGACAGATGACGTCGGGTGCAGCTCCGGAAGCTGTTGCCGACCAGAAAAAGAAAGCAGACGCCAAGAGCGTTATGCAATCGGGATTTCTTTTATTTTTGTTGCTTGAAGTTTGGCTGTCATTGTTGCATTTATTTTTAATTTAAAAATGCATTGCAACAAATATTATGTTCATTTTATTAAACCACGGTTGACGCGACCAGTTTCGATATATTTTTGTAAAGCAAGCTTGAACAAGCAGGTAGCGCCAACTATCGATACGTGTGCGAAACGCGCCCACCCCTCGACTCGGTCATCTGCGTCGCCATCTGCCGTTGACCTTGGCAGGTTTTATCTCTGGTTTTTACCGAATTTTACAAGACAAAACCCACCTGTGATATACAACTTTGACGAAAAGGTGAGATACATACGTTCAGGCGCCAATTTTTACGGCGCATTTTGGATTTAGCCCCATCATTTCAGACAGATGTAGGAACCGTACCACAGTCCCTCGGCACGGGCATAGGGCACTTGATGATATTCCATCAGAGCCTTCCATAATCCGTTCATAAGCTATAGCAGAGTGCGATGGGAGCCACTCGCTTACCGGTTCAATCAGACACCTCCGTTTCATCAGCTGCCTATACGCTCTCTGTGACTGGATATGGGCGGGAGCGTGGTCACGTGGAAAGAGGTGGGCGTGTGATTGGCCTAACGCGCACGTAACCTCCAACGTACTGCTAGCCTACGAGTGAATGCAGTATATATGTTCATTACACGTAAAAGTCAAACGATACCATCAACAACAGTATCAATATGGTACACTACTCTACTCAATTATCTAATAGGGTGATTTCATTTGAAATCGAACATGCTTGTCGGGGTGGGTCTTTGAATTTTTAAAAATATATGTAATTGCCCTATTTCTTGAAAAAAACAAAAACCGCTTTTCGAATTAGAAAAACAAATATTTCACTTCACAAAAAAATATTATTAAGTGGAGCAGGGTGAAAATCTGTTTTTTACTCCGTGATTTTTCTACCCAGTTCTGTACTCTGGTATGAATACGGAAAGCATAAAAAACTCACAGTATTGTTTTGTGTTCTTGTATGTTATTTGGACTATTTTGTAGTTCAAAGGAAAATACTTTTCTATTTTTGTTTATTGAGGTAAAAAAATGCCAAACATCGTCTCTTTGACAATCCGGTGACATCTTCATAGCCTCGTAACTCATGAGGTATTATATTTGTCACTTATTAAATACTATGCGGGTGTAGCCTTATACATGGGCTATAGACGGGCATAAGTTTAGTTTATTTTATTTGTACTGAATATTTTTATATAACATTTGAAATATCGTCGAAAATGAAATTAACCGATATTTTGAACCCCCTTTATTAAAAAAGGCCATTTTTTTATTTCGTTCAATTTTTTTTATTATTGCTGCCGATCATAGGAACTTTCAATTGGCTTGATGCGATTTCCCACTTTTTTGTCGTATCTTCTTAGAAGGGATCGAAATCGCTCCCACGTGACAATGCGGTGACAACTTCAGAGCCTTGCAACTCATGAGTTATTATATTTGTCGCTTACCAAATACCATTCGGGTGTAGCCCTATACATGGAATATCAACGGGCATAAGTTTAGTTAATATTATTTTGATTGAATTTTTTTATATAAAATTTAAAATATGGTCGAAATGAAATTCACTGATATTTTGAACCCACTTTAACAAAAAAAGGTCATTTACTATTTCGTTCAATTTTTCCTAATATTTCTGGCGATAATATGAACTTTCATTTGGCTACATGCGATTTCCCCCTTTTTTTTTGTATCTTCTCTAGAAGTGATCGAAATCGCTCCCACGTTCTCAGAACGGCCAAACGCAGTTTCCGCAGGTCGGCTTTGCTGCAAAGACTACACTGCTTATTTGTGGGTTCAAAATGAATTTAACCGCTGCATTTGAACTTAAAATGCAGCGGTTAAATTTGTTTTGATTGAGAACACTCGTGCTTGGCTACATATTGTATTTTCTTAATTTTTTATACTGGCAACTGACATTCTTTAGTCTGATATTTAGCGGCGCAGCGGATGTTCCATTATCCGACGTCTAAAGCCAGGGCACAAAGGGCGGAGAAAACGGAACAAGCTCTTCATTCAGCCAGACCGGGGTCATATACCCGTTTGTGTTATACGCAGCTTGTAAGGCACGTACAGCACGCCCGGCCCTTCGCGCTATGCGCCCATCTCCGTTACACCCAGGAAGCA